TTGGATGTTCACCTTCCTAGATATGGACAGAGGTGGGAGGTCCTAGGTCTTATCACAGGGCAGAAAACCCTGACTGCTCTTTGGACTGGAGAGGGAGGGGGAAAGGAGTGGGGGGAGGGGGAGAAGGGTGGGAGGAGGGGGCGTAGGGGGGGAGGAGGGGGAGGGAAATGGGAGGCTGGGAGGAGGTGGAAACTTGTTTTTTTTTCTCCTTTTCTCAATAAAAACAAAAACAAAAAAAAAAAATTCCTCAGGAAAACCATTCCTCCCCTGGGTGGAATTCATATCTCTCACCTGGAGTAGGAACTTAGTTGGATCCTTAGAACAGATACATTTCTCTATTCCTGAAATACAAGGGCTGGATAGTAGCCACACCTGTTGCAAATCAATTTGAGAGTGAGCAGAACTCTCTGATCTGAATCGATGTGAAACCTTTGTTTGAGGTAGAAACAGACAATAACCTTGAAGGAATAAAATTAAGTACCAACTCTCTGACCTTTGGGGGTGGAAAGGCAATAACTTGGAGCAAGTTGAAACTCTCTGACCTTCAGAAAAGGTGGAAATAGGCTCAGATTTTTGGACATCCGCACTTCAGGGCCGAGCCACAAAGAGAATTTGTTCATGCTATTCTCAGGCCTTGTCACCTGAAGAAGTCACATGGCTCCTGGCATCACAGCAAGAAATTGAATAAGGCAGTATTTAAGAATAATGGGATGCTATCTTAGATGGAATATAGAATCTTTTGGATGGTATTACTGATAACTCATTAAGGTGTTTATTGGCAATGACACTTGTAGTAATATGAGCGGCGGGGCTGCGTCCCCAGCACCCCGGCCGCCTGGCTAGCTCATACCCCGAAATAATTACACGGACACTGTATTCTTTTAAACACTGCTTGGCCCATTTCTATCTAGCCTCTTCTAGGCTAACTCTCGCACCTGGACTAGCCCATTTCTAATATTCTATGTAGCACAGCTAGGTGCGCTTACTGGGAAGATTCTAGCCTACGTCCATCCTGGGTCTGAGCTTCATCGCGTATGTCTGTCCAGGAGCCGGGAGCATGGCGTCTCTTTCTGAGGCGCCTTACCTCACTTCCTCTTCCTCCCAGCATTCGGTTCTGTTTACTCCACCCACCTATGTTCTAAGCTATGAGCCCAAGCAGTTTGTTTATTACTTAACCAATGAAATCAACAGATTGATATATGACACTCCCACATCACTTCCCGTTTTCCTGTTTAAACAAAAAAAGGAAGGCTTTAACTTTAACATAGCAAAATTACATATAACAAAACAGTTATCAAGCAAGAGTTACAGTTATAATATTTATATCTATTTTATCTTTTATCATTACAATGGAAAACTATAACTATAACTATCTATCTATTCTACAACTCCATCAAAGACTCCAGAAGAATACAATATTACCTAAGCAAAAAAAAGTAAGCAATTTTCAAAACGCTACAAATGACAGAAACATCTCGCTGCCTGTACAGTCACCCAAAGTTCCTCTGTACCGTTTGGGCATCAATCTTCAGCCTTCAGACCCATAGTATCCAGCAGACATTTCCATGAAGCAGGAAAATTCAAAGGCAGTCACTATCTGCTTGTCCTGAAGAATGTCTTGCAGACTCCTTCATAAATCAGGAACCCCGAAAGATCATCTCACCTTTAGGCAAGTTCAGTAGTCCTCTCTCTGTGGGTTCTCTGTATCCAGTTTATGCAATAGTCCAGGCAAGAGCAGTTTCTTGCCCAAATGGCTATCGAACTCCATAAGGATCCTCTTCGATGCCCATCTTCCTCTTGAAGTAGATTGGTGCTGCCAGGAGCAGAGTATCTCATTGTCATGAAAAACCCTAAATTATTAAAATATTAAATGCCATATTCTGCAGTCTTTGAAAGATATGAAGAATGTCTATCTAACTGAAATGTATCTCTATATATCTAGAAAATCTAACTAACATGTCTACAAACTTGACTATTATGATTATCTATTAACAACCTATATACATTTTTAAGTGAACTATACAATCTCAATACCTTAATCAATAGCAGAAATACATATACATATAACAAAATTGACCTTAAATCTCTATCAATAAAGCAAAATCTATACTAATGCAAATTATTCATATCTATATCATATCCCCCTTTAAATGTTAAAGAACATTTATAAACCATATTTGGGAACATGGGCGCAGTTTTTTTTCTCCAAACTGCTTCCTGCTGAATGGAGGCGTCGTTAATTAGGTCCTTCATGGTATAACCTGTGTGCTAGTTTCATCTCAGTTGGCAGTTGAGCAAAGCAATTTTCTGAAGATATTCACAGAAATCCTTCAGGAAGGCGTGGTCCATCATACCATATCGGAATAGAAGAAATGAACAGGGTCTCATCCTCTGTGAAAACAAAATAAGAAACTCCTTTCCAAAGCATCATGTCCTTAGATCCAAATTTCAAAGTCAAGGCATCAAAATATCTATGTTGGATTAGTTCAGCAGCATTTATAAACAAATATCTTTTAGCAGCTGTTGCTCCTTCCTCAGCATTTAAACAATTCAAACAGAGCATAATAGCATACAGTATCAAAATTCTCTGTGTATTTTCCATCTTTGTACACTTAATTTTAATCTCTATTTTGTTTATTTTTACTTTTATTTTTTGCTTTTTTGAGACAGGTTCTCTGTATCTTTGACCTGGAATAACTCTGTAGACCAGGCTGTCCTTGAACTCTCAGAGATCTGCCTGTCTCTGCCTCACAGGCATTGGGATTAAAGGTGTACACTACTACACCTTGAAATCACAGAGATCTGTTTGTCTCTGCCTTCTAGGCACTGGGATTAAAGATGTGTGCTACCACACCTTGAAGTCACAGAGGTCAATCTCCCTCTGCCTCCCAAATGTTGGGATTAAAGGTGTGTACTACCACACCCAACTACCCTCTTTCTTCCTTTTTATACTTTTAAGAGCATTTAACTTTTAGCTTGCATATATTTTTAACACACTGTAAATCATTTAAAAATTTTCTTTGTCTTTGAATCTCTCTTTATTGTCTTTAATGTACCAAGCAATATCATTAGGACTAAAGCCGTGGCTTTGCCGGATAGATGTAGCCCATTCCTTAGCTTTCTGCCATTCCAACCTTGTGGCTGAGGTGCCGGCCAGAGCCGCATTCAGTGCCACAAGTCTACAGTGTTTCAATGTCCCTGCCAGCAAGCGAGTTTCAGCAGCCTGTGCCTGCAAACCGCACAAACCGCCTGTGTAAAAGAGTCAGAGTTTGCCTGGGCAGGACAGCCCAGAAAGCCGGCATTTTTAAACGGCGCAGGGTTTTTCCTGCTTCGGCTGAAAACCGAAAAGCATGCGTTCAGCTTTTCGTCAACACCATTTAAGTGTTTCGTGGCAGGACCTCTTAATGAGCTGCAGGGTTTTGCAGCTAAAGCTGAGTCAGGAAACCTCTCTTAGATGAGGCGCTTGCTTGCCTCTAGCAAGCAGAGTAGACCCGAGAAATTGTCACTATCAAGAAAACATGCTTTACTCTTTCCCAAGCTTTCTCAGGCTTTCAGTGGGTTCAGTTGTCCACACATCTAGGCGCCATTTGTAGTAATATGAGCGGCGGGGCTGCGTCCCCAGCACCCTGGCTGCCTGGCTAGCTCATACCCCAAAATAATTACACGGACACTGTATTCTTTTAATCACTGCTTGGCCCATTTCTATCTAGCCTCTTCTAGGCTAACTCTCGCACCTGGACTAGCCCATTTCTAATATTCTATGTAGCACAGCTAGGTGCGCTTACTGGGAAGATTCTAGCCTACGTCCATCCTGGGTCTGAGCTTCATCGCATGTGTCTGCCCAGGAGCCGGGAGCATGGCGTCTCTGTCTGAGGTGCCTTACCTCACTTCCTCTTCCTCCCAGCACTCTGTTCTGTTTACTCTATCCACCTATGTTCTAAGCTATGAGCCCAAGCAGTTTGTTTATTACTTAACCAATGAAATCAACAGATTGATATATGACACTCCCACATCAGAAACTAGTGTGGCAGAAAGTCTGTTTTATAGAGAAAGTCAGCACTTGGTAGTTTCAGAAGTCAGTCGTATGGTGAAACAGAGGTAGGAAATTTCAACATGTTTAGCACCATGGAAGAAAAGGCCCTGGCTCAGCATTGGATACCTAGAAGGACTCCATCCAACTCAGCCTTCATTCTAAGTTAGGGATAGACAAAGAGATTCCTATTCCAAGTAAACAACTTCATACTTAAACTCCTACACTCTGTTCCAGGCATGGCAGGATCTGTTACAACAAAGACCCAAAATTTGGATAAATTATTGAGGTTGAATTGGTTCTGTACACAAAAAAAATTACAAAATTTAAGGTCATAGATTCTTAGTTTGTGATTTTACTGCAGTACAATTACAGGCATCTGTGTTTGCCAAAAATACATATTTTGACCTTGTCTCCCTTGAAAAATATCAATCTAGAATATAAAAAGATAGATATACCTGCCTCTGCCTTCTAAGTGCTGGAATTAAAGGCATGAATCAATAACCCAACATGTCTATTTTTTTGTTTTGTTTTGTTTTTTCGAGACAGGGTTTCTCTGTGGTTTTGGAGCCTGTCCTGGAACTAACTCTTATAGACCAGGCTGGTCTCGAACTCACAGAGATCCGCCTGCCTCTGCCTCCCAAATGCTGGGATTAAATGTGTGCGCCACCACTGCCCGGCTGTCTATTATTTTTTGTTGTTAGTAATAGGTCATATAATTTCTCTGATGTTTACTGAGTACTGCCTTTCTCTTGCAAGGCATGTCCCATTGAAACATTGCAAAAATGACAGGGGTGAACTTCCTATTCAGTTTCCTTCTGTAGTGATGTGAGGATGACATTATAAGGTCCCTGTCATAAAATTAGTGTGAGAAGCACCAGAAATAGATGACTAATCTGTCAAATAAGTATACATTTACAATGTTGTTGGTATCACACCTTTTGTTTTCCACATGTACGGGATACATTAGAATGCAGTGACCTATGATGATGTGCATGTGAACTTCACTAAGGAAGAGTGGGCTTTGCTGGACCCTTCCCAGAAGAATCTCTACGAAGATGTGATGCTGGAGACCTTCAGAAACCTCACTACTATTGGTAAGGTGTGAAATTGACTTCACATTTTAAAATCAGAGAACAAGTTTTTCTTTTTTATTGGGAGTTTTCTGTAATTTAAATTGAGAAAGAGGAAGAGTGTGCTGAATAAATGATGCATGGTGCTAAGGCTCATTGAAGATATTAACTTATATTTTTTGAAATTCCCAATAATATATCATACATTTTCTGGTATTATATATTTTAGGCTACAATTGGGAAGTTCATGCTATTGAAGAGCAGTCTCAAAGTTCTAGAAGACATGGCAGGTAATTTACATATGCAAGCTGACATAAATGTGCCTCTGAGGAAAGTTTAATGTGTTCTGGATTTTTAAAAGGAAAACAACAATGTAAATAAGCAAAGCTTAAAGTGTATTGGTGACTATTAAATTCTCAAAAAGCCAAATACCTCCATGTCAGGTAGGAAAGTTATGTTTGCAAGGACATAAGAAAGAATGTAGTAGTAAGGGTGGCGGGGCTGCCTCTCCGGCACCCCGCCGCCTGCTCGGCTAGCTTATGCCCCGAAATAACAACACACAAACTGTATTCATTTAATCACTGCTTGGCCCATTTCTATCTAGCCTCTTCTAGGCTAATTCTCACATATTAATTTAGCCCATTTCTAATCATCTGTGTGTAGAACCCCAAGGTGCACTTACCGGGAAGATTCTAGCCTATGTCCATCCTGGGTCAAAGCTTCATAGCGTGCATCTGCCCAGGAGCCAGGAGCATGGCGTCTCTCTGAGGCATCTGCTCCCGAGAGGAAAGCTGTGGAGTCTGAGCTCACTTCCTCTTCCTCCCAGCGTTCTGTTCTGTTTACTCCTCCCATCTATCTTCTAACCAATAAAATGGGCCAAGGCAGTTCCTTTATTAGCCAATGACCTTCCTCCATCAAAAGAAGAGAAAGAAAGAGTGCCTCAACAGATATCACCAGTTGAATCACAGCTGAGTGAGAGCTGTGCTGTAGAACTGCAAATCTGTGTAGTTTCATATCACTCATATTACAATAGGTGTGCACTTTGAACAGGTGATAAGTATCTGTCCAAAACCTTCTATAGTCCCTAGGAAAGCTAGTGTGACTTATATACTGGTGATGGGTTTGCTGAGTTTATTGAGATGGACAGACAGAGTCAAGGGACAATTTTTGTGGAAAAAACCATAATCCTCATAGCACATGACTATGTGGATCAAATTCAAACTATTGAAATGCAATGCGGAAATCATTTATTTGTCCTTTACTGTCACTCTGGATAGAAACCATAGGAACATAGGGATATGGAAAGAAGTAACAGTATCTGTCTCTGAACAATTAGAAGATACGTAGTAGTCTACTTTGAATAGATTTGTTGATTGTGATTCAAGTTTATAAATAATTGATTTTCCAGCTTCATTGGGAATACATCAACAAAGTAACACTGCAGAAAAACCTCATGAGTACTAGGGATTTGTAAACACTCTGTTTGTCCTGGTTCACTTTGCAAATGTAGTATGACTCACACTCTTGGACAGTTTGTGAATATTTATTTAATGCTCATTGTTTTTCCAGTTCTCTTCACATATGTGAAAACTCTCATATAGAAAACAAAAGGCTATAAATATGAACCATGTAATGAAAGCTCTTACCATGAAAGACGTCTTCAAAGATGAATATCAACCTGCAGTGTAGGGGAAAACATGAGTTTAAATGAAGTGATAAACTTTAGGTCCGATTCCTCTTTAAAATTAGACCAAGGCTAGAAAACATCATTTTGAGTGAGGTAACCCAGATACAGGAAGACAATATCACATGTGCTCACTCATACATGGTTTTTAAACATAAAGCAACGAAAACCAGCCCACAAATCACAATCCCAGAGAACCTAGACAACAATGAGGACCCTAAGAGAGACATACACAGATCTAATCTACATGGGAAGTAGAAAAAGGCAAGATCTCCTGAGTGAATTTGGTGCATGGGGACCTTGGGAGATGGTTAAAGGGGAAGGGAGAGGCAGGGAGGTGAGCAGAGAAAAAAGTAGAGCTCAATAAAAATCAAGAATAAAAAAAGAAAAATAAGGAAAAAAATTAGACCAAGGCCCATTGGCAACCACATGGTGGTGGCTCATAACCATTTATAATAATACCTGATGCCCTCTTCTGGTGTGGAGGTGTACAGGCAGGAGGATCATTATATACATACATACATATATATATATATATATATTTAGACAATATGTAAAATTAATTTATATAGATATAACGAGTGATCATTGTAATGAATGTGGTAGAGCTTTTACATATGCCAAGTAACCTTCTGAATATAGTTAATGTGTTAAATCCTTTACATATTACAGTCATTTTGAAAAGCATGAGAGAATTCATTTTGAAGAGAAGACCTATGAAGATATTCAACATGATAAAGCCATTGCATGTCACAGTCAACTACGAATTCATAAACGAGCACATTCTAGACAAAAACCCTATGAATGTAATCAGTGTGGTAAAGCTTTTACACGCCCCAGTCATCTTCAGAAGCATAAAAGAACACATACTGGAGAGAAACCCTACAAGTGTGATCAGTGCTATAAAGCTTATGCATGTTATAGCACTCTTCAGGTGCATAAAAGAACGCATACTGGAGAGAAACCCTACAAGTGTGATCAGTGTGCTAAAGCCTTTACATATCACAGTCATCTTCACAGGCATAAGCGAACACATACTGGAGAGAAACCCTATGAATGTAATCAGTGTGGTAAAGCCTTTACATCTTGCAGTTATCTTCAAAGGCATAAAAGTATACATAGTGGTGAGAAACCCTATGAATGTAATCAGTGTCATAAAACCTTTTCACAACACAATTACCTTCAGAAGCATAATAGAACACATACTGGAGCGAAACCCTATGAATGTAATGAGTGTCATAAAGCGTTTGCACAGCACAGTTATCTTAAAATACATAAAAGAATACACACTGGAGAGAAATCCTATGAATGTAATCAGTGTCATAAAGCCTTTACACATTTGAGTAGTCTTCGCAGGCATAAAAGAATACACACTAAAGAGAAACTGTGATTGTAAATCAGTATTTTAAAGCCTTTTAACATCAGAATCTTCTCCAAATATTATATATATATATATATGAAAATGAAAGATTATCAGTGTAATCATTGTGATAAAGCCTTTACATGTCATAATAGTCTTCTAAGACATTAAAGAACCTATACTGGAGAGAAACCCTAAGAATCTGTTCAGTGTGGTAAAGTCTTCTCACAAAGCAGCAGTCATCCTAACGGCATAAAAGAACACACACTGGAGAGAAATCTGAACAATGTAATAAGTGTGTTAAAACCTTTGCAAGTCACAGTAATCTTTTGTCTTATATAAGAAAACATACTGGAGATAAAAGTTATGAATTTAATCATAATGTCTTTGCACATCACAATAATCTTCAAAAACAAAAGAACACATACTGGAAAGCAAACATATGAATGTGACCACTATGGTAAAGCCTTTGCACATATCAGAAGTCTTCAAATTCATGAGAAAATATGCTGCAAAGAAACCCTATAAGTATAGTCAGTGTGGTTATTTATTTTTATTTCGTGGTAGTTTTTCTACAAGAATGAGCTTTTAGTTCACAATCAATCTGTTAAAGCCTTTTCATATTACAGTATTCTTTGAGGATGTGCAAAACCAATACTGAAGGGAGTCTAACTATAAAGGATTTGGCAAGATCTTCTGCCAACATACATTATTTTTATTTATATTTTTCTGAGATAGGTTTTCTCTGTAGCTTTGGGGCCCATCCTGGAACTAGCTCTTGTAGACCAGGTTGGCCCTGAACTCACAGAGATCTGCCTGCCTCTGCCTCCCAAGTGCAGGGATTAAAGTTATGTGCCACCACCACCCGGCTGGCAGCATAATTATTAAGGTACACAGGAGGGTTGATTCTGGAGAAAAATACATCTGACAATATCAACCATCTGTCCAAGCATTGTAGTATCCTTTATTTTGTTTGCCCCTGCAAACTCATATAAAGGAAATTCCTGCAAATTTAAATAATGATATAACTATTTTAGATTTCACAGTATACTTCATTTACATTAGATAACTAATCCAGCTGTAAACATTGATGGATATATATTTGTGCCTTCTCTTTTGTTGTGATATAACATGTTTTAATGATATTGATGTGAAATTACTGAATAATAGAGAATATAAGAAACAGTAAATACCTCATGTGCATATTCAAAGCAGAATTGTCTTTTATCTGGTTGATATATAATAAAGTAGGATAATCAGCAATCAACTATATTTTATAACATAGCTTGATTGCTATGGATATTTATATATTATTTAGTGTTTCATTTTCTTCTTCGTGTCCCAATTACTTATCCATTTGTCTCTTCATCTTAAAGTACTGCCTTCTAATCAGGATATCCATGGATGCCAGATAATTTAACAGCAATGAGATTTATATTAAAAAAAATTCTTTTTTATGTGTCTGTAATGGGATTCTGGATTTGTAGGTCATGGCAGATATGTAGAGACTAGAAGACAACTTTATGGAATCTTCTTTTGGCCATCTTCATATGGTATTCATGTCAGGTTCCAGTCTTGTAGACCACAGACATTTCATACTGAGCCATTTCACTAATGCTTAAAGAAGATAAATTGAATATTACCTCTTCTTTTAAAGGTGTTAATATATTGTTTTTAAGAATGGAAAAAAGAGGATAATTTGAGTAATAATTCCTGTTATGATTATACTGACCTTCCCTGTCAGTCCCTGTCCCTTTAAGAGACAAGGTCTGTCCACTACCAGTCACTCTGCCCATTGAGGCAAGCTCCCATTGGCCACCTTTCCCTCTCTCTTCCTGCCTTTCTTCTGAAGAGGAAGCTGAAGGCGTAAGTCACAAACAATGCCACACCAATTCGGGGTTATGATTATTAGGGTGGTATTTATTTAAAGGGGAAAAAAACTTACAGTTCACTGTCCCAGGCAACAGCCCTCTACGCAACCAGGAAAGGAGTCTAGTCGCAGGCGGAGCAGGAAGTGAAGAGAGAGAGAAGAGGGAAGTGGCCGCTGTTTTAAAGGGAGAGAAACCACGCCCCAGTGGGCTGGTACCTCAGCGGTGATAGGCTGGAGGAGTGGGAGGACCTCCCGCAACACCTCCCCCTTTTGTTTAAATAAGAGAGTTCTAAACCTACTATGAAATTATATACAATAAGTACAAATATCCTATTCTAACTAGCTTAGGTCTTGTATAATAAATAACTTGGCCAAGTCATGAGAGAAAGTAACTACATTTATATAGTCTTCAACCCCATCGAAGATCTGAGAAGGGAAATAATGTTACCTGGGTAATTAGGAAGTTCAGTAGAACAACTTCCAAAACATGCAACAAATTACAGAGACAACTAGCTACCTGGGCAATCACCCAAAGTCACATTAGCAGCGTTGAAGCAACCAACTTTGGCTAAGGCCTAACATAACTGACATACCATTTTCTAAGGCAAGCAACTTTTCAAAACTATCTTACCCTGTCGTGGCAGGATATGACAGTCCTGTTTTATCCATTGATGCATGCTCTGTATCTTTGTCAGTTGTTGAGGTATGGGCATTTCTTTGCCCAAACGCCAGTTCTGCCAAAAAGAAAGGCTCCAGGTGGAGTGTCTTTGGTGCTCAACATTCTCTCGGGAATAGAGTGGTGTTGCCAGGAGCAATTGTGTCGCACTACCACAAAACTCTGAGTTAGATTAAAGGCCATTTTCTACAGCTCTTTGAAGAAGTTGAAGATTATCTATCTATACTGAGTATAATCTCTATATATCTAAAGAACCTGATTAGTCTATTATAAATGACAAACTTAGATGACTATTAGTCTATATAATTCTCAATATCTATCTAACTTAAAGACTAAGACAATAAATGACTGTGAAACAAATGAGGACAATGACCTCCAAATATAAACAATGTACAAATATACATTGCAGTAGGCAAATATATATCAATACACAATCATTATATAAGTATCTTAATCAGAGGTAGAAATGTACACTGCAATATGGTAAATATATACAATATATATATATATATCAATACAATATATGTCAATACATAAAAAAATGTTTTAAACAGAGGTAGAAACATGCATGCGTACAATAGTCAATATAATTTAACTTTGTATCAATATACAAGAATCTATACCAATGTATTTGTCTAAAAACAGTAACTCACAATTACAAATCTATTATCCCATCATCCCTCTTTTTTTTTTTTTTCAAAATGATCCCTGAGCGTATAAAATTCCTCCCCCAACCCTCAATCGTATACTAATTATAATCAACCCCTAAATGATGTCCCTAAACCCAAGGGCAAGTTTTACTGGGAAAGGGGACGTCGTCCTCTAGAATTACTTCCAGCTGTCATGGGGGCGACGTTCTTTCTGGGGGATCCTGTGAAAGTGAAATGATGGTTAAATTTCAAGATCAATGTCTTTTAAAATTGCCAATAGTCTCTGAGTATTTTGTGCAGGTCTGGCCAAAATGTTGTATAAGATGTGCACCATTTCAGCTAACCAAGTTGGAACTGTCTTGTGCAGCTGGTACCAAAAGCAGGTCTTGTAGTAGCGCTATCAGTATCATGACGTCATATCAACCAGGTGGAGTTGTTGTTATGGGGCCCCATCTTCTTCCTGGAAACTTCAAATGTCACTTCAGGAAAAACTCATTGTTCATTATGAAAAACTTAAACATTAATCATATAGACATATATAAACATATATATATATATTCAATGAAAGACATGATAGATATATTCAATGAAAAGTATGATAGATATGAAGAAAAGCAAAGATGTTTTCTAAACTCATATTTCTTTCTGTCCCATATCATGGCTCTTGACATGAGACAGAAACTCCAGAAACTCTGGGTTTTTCTCTTACTAACAGGCTTGGAATTGGAGAGGGACTGAGCCAAAGTCCAACTTCAAAACCAGCTTTATAAATTTAGAAATGTGGTTTAATATTACTTACACAATCCATTCAGTTGTCTTCATATTTCCTATTGGGCAGGTATTTTTCCATCTGTCAGTATCCAAACATCCAGGGTCCCTTGAATTTCTCAAAGATGAGTGTTTTCCTGTGGAGATAAGAACAGAACCCTGCCCCCATTCTATATGTTTTTCTTACCACCTGTATGAATATCATCGTTGTGGATGAGTTGTCATTTCTCCTTTCCAAGAGGTTTCTCCTCTTCAAATCGAAACTTTATTAATTTTGATGGTATCCACAATTTTTCTTCTCCTGTGGAAACAAGAGCAAAACCCCTTCCCCAACGTAGCACATCTCCTGGCTTCCACTGAGAGGTCAGCACATCTTTGAAATAAATCGGTTGATTTAGTTCAGCAGACTTTTCCATTATCCAATGTCTTTCTGCTGCTGTTGTTCCTTTCTCATTAGCGTTAAGAAAATTCAAGGTTAATAAAGCATTATGTAATCTATTTCTGGGGGTATTTTCAGTCCCTTTCTGTTTGTTCAGCATATCCTTTATAGTACGATTTGATCTTTCTATAACTGCCTGACCTGTAGGATTATTTGGTATACCTGTAATGTGTTTTATATTATAATAATCAAAAAAGCGTTTCATTTTCTTAGATACATATGCTGGACCATTATCTGTCTTTATTTGCGCAGGTATACCCATGATGGCCATAACTTCCAATAAATGTGTGATTACTGAATCAGCCTTTTCTGAGCTCAGGGCAGTAGCCCATTGAAAACCTGAATACGTGTCTATGGTGTGGTGTACATATTTTAATTTACCAAATTCCATAAAGTGGAACACATCCATCTGCCAAATTTCATTTCTCTTAGTACCCTTTGGGTTACTCCCTGCAGGCAACGGTGTTTGATTATAGAAAGAACAAGTAGGACATCTCTTTATAATGTCCTTAGCTTGTTGCCAAGTAATGGAAAATTCTTTCTTTAGGCCTTTACTATTGACATGATGCTTCTTATGAAATTCCGAGGCCTGCAACACACTTCCAATCAATAATTGATCAATCTCAGCATTGCCTTGGGCTAGAGGACCAGGCAGACCTGTATGGGACCGGATGTGTGTTATGTACATCGGACAAAGCCTGTTCCTGATTATGTCTTGTACCTGGATAAACAATGAAGTCAACTCTGTGTCATCTGGTATAAATTCAGCGGTTTCAATATGCAAGATAACTCTTTCTGCATATTGTGAATCTGTAACTATATTAAGAGGTTCTTTAAAATCCCTTAGCACCATAAGAATGGCATATAATTCTGCCTTCTGGACAGAATTATAAGGGCTTTGTTCCACCTTACTCAATTCATCTGACTTGTAACCTGCTTTCCCTGATTTATTTGCATCAGTATAGAACATACGGGCTCCAGTTATTGGAGCATCACGTACAATTCTAGGAAGAATCCAAGAAGTTCTTTTTATGAGATTAAGTCTATCACTTTTGGGATAGTTGCTATTAATTTCTCCCAAAAAGTTAGCACAAGCTCTTTGCCACGGTTCATTGTCTTCCCATAACTTTTTTATTTCTTCAGTAGTAAAAGGCACTATAATTTCTGCTGGGTCTATACCTGCTAGTTGACGAAGTCTCAGCTTACCTTTTATAATTAATTCAGAGACCTTTTCCACATAAGTTTTTAATTTTTTACT